TTAGGTGTTGTAGTGTAGGGTTAGGTGTTTGTAGTATAGGGGTTGGGTGTTGTAGTGTAGGAGTTAGGTGTTGTGGTGTAGGAGTTGGGTGTTGTAGTGTAGGAGTTAGGTGTTGTAGTGTGGAGTTGGGTGTTGTGGTGTAGGGTTAGGTGTTGTGGTGTAGGAGTTGGGTGTTGTAGTGTGGGGTTGGGTGTTGTAGTGTAGGGTTGGGTGTTGTAGTATAGGAGTTGGGTGTTGTAGTGTAGGAGTTAGGTGTTGTAGTGTAGGGTTAGGTGTTGTAGTGTAGGAGTTAGGTGTTGTAGTGTGGAGTTAGGTGTTGTAGTGTAGGGTTGGGTGTTGTAGTGTAGGAGTGGTGTTGTAGTGTGAGAGTTAGGTGTTGTAGTGTGAGTTAGGTGTTGTAGTGTAGGAGTTGGGTGTTGTAGTGTAGGAGTTAGGTGTTGTAGTGTAGGAGTTAGGTGTTGTAGTATAGGAGTTAGGTGTTGTAGTGTAGGAGTTGGGTGTTGTAGTGTAGGAGTTGGGTGTTGTAGTGTAGGAGTTAGGTGTTGTAGTGAAGGAGTTGGGTGTTGTAGTGTAGGAGTTAGGTGTTGTAGTGTAGGAGTTAGGTGTTGTAGTGTAGGAGTTAGGTGTTGTAGTATAGGAGTTAGGTGTTGTAGTGTAGGAGTTAGGTGTTGTAGTGTAGGAGTTGGGTGTTGTAGTGTAGGAGTTAGGTGTTGTAGTGTAGGAGTTGGGTGTTGTAGTATAGGAGTTGGAATTTGTAGTGTAGGAGTTAGGTGTTGTGGTGTGGGGTTGGGTGTTGTAGTGTAGGGTTGGGTGTTGTAGTGTAGGAGTTGGGTGTTGTAGTGGGAGTTAGGTGTTGTAGTGTAAGTTGGGTGTTGTAGTGTAGGAGTTAGGTGTTGTAGTGTAGGGTTAGGTGTTGTAGTGTAGGGGTTGGGTGTTGTAGTGTAGGGTTAGGTGTTGTAGTGAGGGTTGGGTGTTGTGGTGTAGGGTTAGGTGTTGTAGTGTAGGAGTTGGGTGTTGTAGTGTAGGGGTTAGGTGTTGTAGTGTAGGGTTAGGTGTTGTGGTGTAGGGGTTGGGTGTTGTAGTGTAGGGTTGGGTGTTGTAGTGTAGGAGTTAGGTGTTGTAGTGTAGGGTTAGGTGTTGTAGTGTAGGAGTTGGGTGTTTGTGGTGGTTGGGTGTTTGTAGTGTAGGGTTGGGTGTTGTAGTGTAGGGTTAGGTGTTGTGGTGTAGGAGTTGGGTGTTGTGTGTAGGAGTTAGGTGTTGTAGTGTAGGGTTGGGTGTTGTGGTGTGGGAGTTGGGTGTTGTAGTGTAGGAGTTAGGTGTTGTAGTGTAGGAGTTAGGTGTTGTAGTGTGAGGTTAGGTGTTTGTGTTATAGGGGTTAGGTGTTGTAGTGTAGGGTTGGGTGTTGTGGTGTAGGAGTTAGGTGTTGTAGTGTAGGAGTTAGGTGTTGTAGTGTGGGGTTAGGGTGTTGGTGTAGGAGTTAGGTGTTGTAGTGTGAGGTTGGGTGTTGTAGTGTAGGAGTTAGGTGTTGTAGTGTAGGAGTTAGGTGTTGTAGTGTAGGGTTGGGTGTTGTAGTGTAGGGTTAGGTGTTGTAGTGTAGGAGTTAGGTGTTGTAGTGTAGGAGTTAGGTGTTGTAGTGTAGGAGTTGGGTGTTTGTAGTGTAGGAGTTAGGTGTTGTAGTGTAGGGTTAGGTGTTGGTGTAGGGTTAGGTGTTGTAGTGTAGGAGTTAGGTGTTGTAGTGTAGGAGTTAGGTGTTGTAGTGTAGGAGTTGGGTGTAGGGTGTTGTTAGAAGTTGGGTGTTGTGGTGTGGGAGTTGGGTGTTGTAGTGTGTGGGGTTGGTGTTGTTGTGGTGTAGGGTTAGGTGTTGTGGTGTAGGGTTGGGTGTTGTAGTATAGGAGTTAGGTGTTGTAGTGTAGAGTTGGGTGTTGTAGTGTAGGGAGTTGGGTGTTGTAGTGTAGGAGTTAGGTGTTGTAGTGTAGAGTTAGGTGTTGTAGTGGGAGTTAGGTGTTGTAGTGTAGGAGTTGGGTGTTGTAGTGTAGGAGTTAGGTGTTGTAGTGTAGGAGTTGGGTGTTGTGAGTGTAGGGTTAGGTGTTGTAGTGTAGGGGTTAGGTGTTTGTAGTATAGGAGTTAGGTGTTGTAGTGTAGGGTTAGGTGTTGTGGTGTAGGAGTTGGGTGTTGTGAGTGTTAGGGTTAGGTGTTGTAGTGTAGGGTTGGGTGTTGTAGTGTAGGAGTTAGGTGTTGTAGTGTAGGGTTAGGTGTTTGTAGTGTAGGGTTGGGTGTTGTGGTGTAGGAGTTAGGTGTTGTGGTGTAGGGTTAGGTGTTGTATGTAGGAGTTGGGTGTTGTAGTGTGAGGGTTAGGTGTTGTAGTGTAGGGTTGGGTGTTGTAGTATAGGAGTTAGGTGTTGTAGTGTAGGAGTTGGGTGTTGTAGTGTAGGGGTTGGGTGTTGTAGTGTAGGAGTTAGGTGTTGTGGTGTAGGGGTTGGGTGTTGTAGTGTAGGAGTTGGGTGTTGTAGTGTAGGGTTGGATTGTTGTAGTGTAGGGTTGGGTGTTTGTGTGAGTTGGGTGTTGTAGTGTAGGGTTAGGTGTTGTAGTGTGGGGTTGGGTGTTGTAGTATGGGGTTAGGTGTTGTAGTATAGGGGTTGGGTGTTGTAGTGTAGGGTTGGTGGGTGTAGGGTTAGGTGTTGTGGTGTAGGGTTAGGTGTTTGAGTATAGGAGTTAGGTGTTGTAGTGTAGGGTTGGGTGTTGTGGTGTAGGGTTGGGTGTTGTATTGGAGTTAGGTGTTGTAGTGTAGGGTTAGATTGTTGTAGTGTAAGGTTAGGTGTTGTAGTATAGGAGTTAGGTGTTGTAGTGTGGGGTTAGGTGTTGTAGTGTAGGGTTGGGTGTTGTAGTATAGATTGGGTGTTGTGGTATAGGAGTTGGGTGTTGTAGTGTAGGGTTAGGTGTTGTAGTGTAGGGAGTTGGGTGTTGTAGTGTAGGAGTTAGGTGTTGTAGTGTAGGAGTTAGGTGTTGTAGTGTAGGAGTTAGTGTTGTAGTGTGAAGTTGGGTGTTGTAGTGTAGAGTTGGGTGTTGTAGTGTAGGGTTGGGTGTTGTAGTGTAGGAGTTGGGTGTTGTAGTGTAGGGTTAGGTGTTTGTAGTAGGAGTTAGGTGTTGTAGTGTAGGAGTTAGGTGTTGTAGTGTAGGAGTTGGGTGTTGTAGTGTAGGAGTTAGGTGTTGTAGTGTAGGGTTGGGTGTTGTTGTAGTGTAGGGAGTTGGGTGTTGTAGTGTGGGGTTAGGTGTTGTAGGTGTAGGGTTAGGTGTTGTAGTGTAGGGTTAGGTGTTGTAGTGTGAGGTTAGGTGTTGTAGTGTAGGAGTTAGGTGTTGTAGTGTAGAGGTTGGGTGTTGTAGTGTGGGGTTAGGTGTTGTGATTAGGGTTGGGTGTTGTAGTGTGAGTTAGGTGTTGTAGTGTGAGTTAGGTGTTGTAGTGTAGGAGTTAGGTGTTGTAGTGTAGGGAGTTGGGTGTTGTAGTGTAGGGTTGGGTGTTGTAGTGTAGGAGTTGGGTGTTGTTGTAGTGTGGGAGTTGGGTGTTGTAGTGTAGGAGTTAGGTGTTGTAGTGTGAGGTTAGGTGTTTGGTGTGAGGGTTAGGTGTTGTAGTGTAGGGGTTAGGTGTTGTAGTATAGGGGTTAGGTGTTGTGGTGTAGGGTTAGGTGTTGTAGTGTGAGTTGGGTGTTGTAGTGTAGGGTTAGGTGTTGTAGTATAGGAGTTAGGTGTTGTAGTGTAGGGTTAGGTGTTGTAGTGTAGGGTTGGGTGTTGTAGTGTAGGGTTAGGTGTTGTGGGTAGGAGTTGGGTGTTGTAGTGTAGGGTTAGGTGTTGTGGTGTAGAGGGAGTTAGGTGTTGTAGTGTAGGGTTGGGTGTTGTAGTGTAGGAGTTAGGTGTTGTATAGGGTTGGGTGTTGTGGTGTAGGAGTTAGGTGTTGTGGTGTGGGGTTAGGTGTTGTAGTATAGGAGTTGGGTGTGTAGTGTAGGAGTTAGGTGTTGTAGTGTAGGGGTTAGGTGTTGTAGTGTAGGGAGTTAGGTGTTGTAGTGTAGGGTTGGGTGTTGTGGTGTGGGGTTGGGTGTTGTAGTGTAGGAGTTGGGTGTTGTGGTGTAGGAGTTAGGTGTTTGTAGTGTAGGGTTGGGTGTTGTGAGTGTGGGAGGTAGGTGTTGTAGAGTGTAGAGTTAGGTGTTGTAGTTTAGGAGTTAGGTGTTGTAGTGTAGGAGGAGTTGGGTGTTCTAGTGTAGGGTTAGGTGTTGTAGTGTAGGGTTGGGTGTTGTAGTGTGGAGTTAAGTGTTGTGGGTTAGGTGTTGTAGTGTAGGAGTTAGGTGTTGTAGTGTAGGGTTAGGTGTTTGTAGTGTAGGAGTTAGGTGTTGTAGTGTAGGAGTTAGGTGTTGTTTGAGTATAGGGTTGGGTGTTGTAGTGTGGGTTGGGTATTGTAGTGTAGGGTTAGGTGTTCTAGTGTAGGGTTAGGTGTTGTAGTGTAGGAGTTGGGTATTGTAGTGTAGGGTTAGGTGTTCTAGTGTGGAGTTAGGTGTTGTGGTGTAGGGTTAGGTGTTGTAGTGTAGGGTTAGGTGTTGTAGTGTAGGTTAGGTGTTGTAGTGTAGGAGTTAGGTGTTGTAGTGTAGGAGTTAGGTGTTGTAGTATAGGGTTAGGTGTTGTAGTGTAGGAGTTAGGTGTTGTAGTGTAGGAGTTAGGTGTTGTAGTGTAGGGTTAGGTGTTGTGGTGTAGGGAGTTAGGTGTTGTAGTGTGGGGTTAGGTGTTGTAGTATAGAGTTGGTGTTGTAGTGTAGGAGTTAGGTGTTGTAGTATGGGGTTGGGTGTTGTAGTGTAGGGTTAGGTGTTGTGGTGTAGAGGTTAAGGTGTTTGTAGTGCAAGAGTTAGGTGTTGTAGTGTAGGAGTTGGGTATTGTATAGTATGAGTTGGCGTGTTGTATCTTTCACCAGGTAGTGTAATTTGTAGATTCATAACGTGGCGGTGTTCTGTGTGGCCCAGGTTGGGACATGCCCTTGATGATCAGTGGGGCCACTTATCCTACTGCGCCTCCACTCCCTTTCTGTACAACACCGAGATACGACCAGACCCCCACCAAAGTGTAAAATACACCCACATGTGTTCATGATGACAACTATCAAATACTTAGTGTCTTATGTATGATATTCTTTTAACTGTATCTATTCAAATGTTGATCATATAACGGCTAGCCTATATAACACATGCTGTACAGTTATTATTATTTCAGGATTAAGCTTGTAAGTTATGTCATTAATTGTTCAGAACCAGAGGCAAGAACATTCTGTGTTTTTAGAAAATTTATAAATCCATTAAATCATGACCCATGATCACTAACATCTTTTTGTTTCATATGTGGAAGTTTGTGGTTATTTCTGCTGGCCTTCCCCGTGTACCCTACCTGCAGGCCCAAATGTCACTGAAGAAGGTGCGAGAACGGTCAGCGACACAAGCGTGATCCACGAGGCGTTACCGCCGTGACCTGGTACCAACGTTGACCTGAAAAATTTGCTGTTTGAAATATTGGTGATGGAGCTGCTGGCAATGCTTGAAACCCACACCACAACCAGGGAGCTTTGGTACCATCACCTGCACCGGCCCCTCCCAGGTATGCTGTACAGTACTCACCTTGGCCAGCTCTCATGGAAAAAGCGCATCCTAGATTTTCATGTGCTTCTAGTACGACAACAATTATAAAAAAAAAATCATATAATATTAATGCACATATTTTCTTATTTTAGTTGTTACTCATATAAATTTTTCCGTGATTGCATACAGGCAAAAAACCTCCTAATTCGTTCACCATGTAGTAACTTTACACACGTCGGAGGAAAGGCGGCCGATGGCCTGTGTAAGTTCCCCTAATGTTCTTGATAATATTGTCCCTTTAATTTTTTAGAAAACAGTGCTGTTCTATTTCCTACCGCTTCAGCTAGTAGACTGTTCCATAGGTTTTACTTCCTTATAATCCTTCTTCTCGACGATTTAGCGAACGAAACCTCATGTTTGTGACGCTTTTACATTTTTAGAAGAAATTGAGCTTACGTCTTTCCAAGTTCTTGTTTGACCTTGAGTTGTTGGTCCTTAGAATATTATCAATCTGGTTTCCGGCATCTTCGGTGTAGGTGTCTCTTTTCCTTTTCTATTTTAATTTCTTTCTGTTCTTATATTTTTCGTCCCCTAGGTCCCGTTGTGGAGTCGTTGACCTGTGCCCAGGTGGGCTATTCCCCGTTAAAAAAAAAAAAAAAAAAAAAATACGTGAAGTGGTTTCTGTATTTTTTAGCAATAACTCAGATTATTCGGCTGTATTGGATTTTTTAGTGACTTTTTTTAAGTCTCATCTCCGTAAGTTTATATAATAGTCAGATGGAGACACAAGTTGAGGTATCATCATTTTTCTTTTCTTTATATTCAAGGAAAGGTTAATGATCAAATTTAGTCTACTTTTCATTGCTGCCTCTTTCCTGTGTTGATTCAGTAACTGGTCTATCACGCTCCCTCCAGTCCTTTGCCTGATTTATAAGTGACAGGAAATTTGTTGCGCTTCGTTGGACATTATATATTATTTAATCAATTTGTACACCCCAAGGGGCGACAAGCCTAGTCACAAGACCATGCGGTCTCGCAGGACACGCTATGACCTTAATATGGAACATTGATGTGAGGCTGAGGACAGCAGGAGTTAGCACCCACCAAAGTGTGGAGTAGCGTACAGAATATATCAGAGAAATGATTATGTATAAATACAGTAGGTGGTGACATATAGTGGTTAGTGACTCTTCACTGTGGTAGGAAGTCTCGCCGATGGTGGGACAGTCCAAGTGTTGAAGGGTGTGAGCATTGGGACAGTTACAGAGTTTGCAGAAAGTAGTGCGGGTCATTCCCCGACTCAGATATTGCACAGATAGGTCTATATCCTAACCTAATACAGGCAGACATTATATCTGCGGACCGTAGAATCCATGTCGACGATCATACATAGGTAAGGAAAAGTGATAATAATGTTGGATGGTTGTACTCTCAGCCCGTTCATTATCCCTGCGATGGATTATGAGGGAAAAGAGCAGCTGAACGTATTCTCTTTGGTAGCAGAGGAGGAGGTTGTAGCCCCAGCACCATGGGCGGCCAGTCCACAGGAAATTCTGAGACCAAATCAGCAGTCATTGTTTGTTATTCCAACATGAGATTGAACCCACAAAAAATGTATGACAAGGCATAAAAAGGCTTAGAGGGAAGAGGCCTGGAGTGCAGATTGAAATCACAAATGATTATATTGTTCAATCTCCTCAGAAGGAGGAGATCAACTGCATCCAGGTCCATGTAATTCACTGTAGGATAGAGCTCGACCAGTTCCGGAAGTCTACGAGCCGACCCAACCTCCGCCGGTTGGTCCCCATCCAACGAGAAGGCGCACCCGCACTCCCGTCTGCCCTGTAAGGGAACTGTCAGTGTATGGATGGTGTACGGCAGGGACTGAGGTAGGGAGCTGCATGTGTTCTGGAGTATCCAAGTTCTATCTACGAGGCGAACACAAACACCTGTAAGTTTTCGTAGGTTCATATATGGGCCTGAGCTGCCACCATTTTATAAGAATATATTATTGTCGTAACAAATTCCTTTTACTCTCATACTTATTATCTCATTGGTAGCGTGACGAGAGGAGGCTTGTGGGTAGATGTAATGATAGTAACAAAGTAATAGGGAAGAAATAACTTGGTAAATACTGTAGGTAAATAATAGACACAATATATAAATACAAAATTTATTTAAACATTAATATGGAAGTAGGAGAAAGGATATATATGTACCAACCGACGAAATCGGGTACACTATGCCCTCAGGCTCAACATACTCACACCACTACTGGGTGGACATACTCAATAACACATAACTCTTATAGTCCTGCTATAAAGTCCAGGGCAACTGCCCACTACAACACTCAGTGAATCAATGTTGATACTCAACCTTAATAGCAGGGGTCCCATGCCATGGTACTGTCCGACGAACTCTGAAAGATCCCAGTGGATTAATTCCACCACACAAATGGCCCACTGAGTTAGACGCTCATCCACCAATGATGGGGGCTGGTAGTGGTGTCGAAACTGGTGATTGAGGGTCACCTCTTGGGCCAGGCGTTAGGGCCAGACGAGCCAGCTATGGGGGCGTAGGTAGTCTGCTGAAGTGTCTGACGGCCAGGTCTCTGAAGGTTACTGGTCCTCGGACATCTCCCCAAACATAGTGGATGCAACATCCACGCTACAGACCTGACCTAGGCTGCGTTAGGGACCTCATATGGGCGAAGGGACGGGCGCTCACTAACGGTGACAACAACATCACGTTTCTCAGGGACGTTAAAGACGTAAATATGACTTCACTCAGAGCATATCAACTTCGTTACTGTAACACTTGCACAATCAACTATTAATTGGGTCAAATCACTTAAGAAGGGCCAATTACAGCACAGTGGAGATAGCATACCTGTGTGGATGAAGGGACGGGCACTTACTAACGGTAGAAATGCCCGCAGCACCTTCACTCAAAATAGGCCAGGAGTCACCTACTTCTATTCCGATGAATTAATTGCACAGCACACTCTGACGTTTCGATAGATTCTCAAATTTCAGTTCATTCCCTACTATTATCCTCACTAACAATGCTCTGACTCAGCTATCAAAAACAAAATTAAAATTGATTACAGGGTTGGATGGCAGATCCCAACATACAGCGTCTGCTACGAAATCCGTGGATTATATTCAAAACAGAGAAAACGGGGACGTTTCCTGGGGACTCCGGAAGGTTTGTGGACGTTTGAGCGTAATATGAATCCTTAAGGTTTCAGGTTAGCCGTTATCACGATCATGACACTATTTCCTGGATAAACAGAGATACACAAGCGAGTGGCGCTCCTTACTCTGTCACCAGGGGGTCAACTAGCCTTTCTGGCGACATGTGGTAAGTGATACGTACTTGGCTTCCATGTCGCCAGGCACATTAATTAAACGTGTGTGTGACATAATAATACATTACACGCTGTAAGCTAGGCTGAATAAATAATGTGTGTATATAAATGGAGCACATACATAATATACATACATAATATTTCATACAGCATACATAATATACATACAGAGACTATGTTTGGTCTCCAGAGCTAATTGTTTCTGAAGTTGAGGAGGTCCGCCTTTGTGGTGTGAGAGTAAAGTTGACTGCTGGACAGGGGAATCTTCTAGGCTGTAGGACCGTCATCAGCACTTGCTACATGTACAGTGGTGTGGGGTTCTGAGTATAGAACAAATCCTCATTTTAATGAAGGGTAGAACCACCCGGCCAAGTAGAGAATAGCCGAGGTGAGTTTGGATCAAGGAGGTTCTAATGACATGAGAATGGGTGGGGGCAAGGGTGGGGAGAGTAGAGGCGCAACACTAAAGGAAGATGGAGTTCAGTTTGCATGTTGACTATCCTGGTGGAGGTGCAGGACAATTCGGGATAAATATCATTACTTTGTTTTGAAACTTTCAAGAGATCTTAAGATTTTTGGGGGGAGTTGACATAAGGCAGGAGAAGGTAGTCAACAGGCGGATAAATATAATGTAAACAGTTCTGGCTACAGGGACAGGAAATTCCTGTGGCATTGTTGGTGGGAAGCCACATAGAGGGGTTAGACGCTGTTGCTGTCGATCTATGAGGTCCCGGACGATGGGCTGGACACGTTGTCAATGCAGGTGTAGCTGGGTAATCGTACAGAGTGCGCAGGTAGATGTACTGCTTACACGGGGAGGATAACACTATCTCCCACAGTAAATTCTAGAAGCGTCTCCGGGTTTGCGGGAGAAAAGTTCCACTCTTGTCTGGGAAGGATGAGACCACAAAGCAGAAGACGACGCAGAGAATGAGTAACAGGTAACTGTGGTGCCGGGAATGTCAGGAAGGAGAAAGTAGGCGACACGCAAGGACTTAAAAAGAAAGGGGCAAAGAACACCACCCTGTGGAGTACCAAGATTGAAGTTCTTGATAAAGCTACATACTTGTAAAGAAGACACGGGAGGATCTGTTCCGGAGGTATCCATCTTAAGAAATTACCTTTAAC